GACAGAAAAGCCGATCAGCTGATCATTGATCAGTTTCACGATTGAAGTAGCAGCAAGAAGAGGGAGGGGGAGAGAGAGGCAGTCACTCCATATATGGTTGTTAAGCTTAACGCTAAAATGCTTTACAAACATTCAGAGATGAACTTACACACTTGCTTTACTTCTCTCTGGGATAACTTCCTCGGAGATGAAATACCGGTTTGGTAGCGAGGCTCTGTGCGCTCAACCAGACAACAGGTCTTGCACGCCACAGCCGCTCTATCACGTGAGCACACTGCTCCGACGTGCTACGGTTATGAGCTGAGTTATGGCATGTCGCAAGTTTTGTGATGTACTTTTTTGATATTTAATGGAGCGGATTACATTTTTTATTTCTCTCCGATATCCGATCCAGTAATTTAGGTCAGTATCAGACCGATACCAATACGTAATATTCGATCGGTCCATCTCTAGTTTAGTCTAAACATTTGCACAACGTCTGTCTGTGTGGGAAGTTCCAGAGTGGACAATAATCTATAATGAGCTCAGTTCAGCTGCTCTTTGGCTTTGTTGTGACTTTCTGCTGTGTTTGAACTTGAGGAAATTGTACAGAAGGTAATTTTCAACACTTTCCTGAACTGCCCTTTTGTGTTGCTTCTGTTGTGAAAATGTCAAGCGCTCGCCCTCACAAGAAAGAATCTGGCTTGTTGTCCTCCTCCAACCATCACCATGGAAACTAAGTGGCAGCCTATCAGATCTGTAGTGTGTGATGGCTGCGGGTGCTTCCTGAGTTACAGATGTGATTAAAGACGAGTTTTTAAGTTTCACACCAGGAAAGGACTCAAAGCTTGCCCCCCCCAGAGCTGGCTAATGAAACTACTTGTTAAATCTGACAAGACGAGCTGGAGGAAATTACAAGTTCCTGCTGAGCCTGTTAGTGATGGTGACAACCTGTACTTATCATAAATATAGAGGAAAACCTTGAGAAAATACATTGTGAACACACCTGCTGGTTAAAGTAGTGGTTCCAGCACTCAAAGCAGATATAATTAAAACTATTTTCAATTTGTAGTCAATGCTCCTGAATTGTTGACTATTGAAGATGATCACCATAATAAATGTCACCAAAATAACAATTTTAACTTAGAAACACAACAGGATTTAAATGTGACACCAAGGACTTCCAAATGACAGAGTTACTCTCAGACAATTATTGTCAGTGGGACCTGAAGGTCTTGAGCAGCTACACAGGTTGCTCAAGTGTTGTCACTGATATGATTTGAGTGCTGTTGAGTTCAAGGTGAGTGATGCTTTTTAAAAAAAAAATAATTAAAAATTAAACCATCGAAGAATAAGAGTATTAAGAGGATACTTCACAGGCCTTTGCAGGTAACAGATACAGCCTTCTTGTGTGGTTATTCTTTATATTACATAGTAAGGATTTAAAATTAATATTCTCATGAAAGCTTTCTTTAGGTTACAAACATATTAACTAAAATTGTTAAAGCTAAAACCGAGTTTTAAAAATATGCAATAGAAAATATTAGAAAATAATATGAATTTTGAATCATGGCTTTGTGATTGCAAATAGAAAGACCATCATTTTGGCTTTCATGGCATGCAGTTGTGACTCCTCACTCTCATTTAGAAATGAATGTTTAATCTACTGTTTTTATTTCTCAATGTTTCCTTGCAAACAACTTAGGTTAAAAAGAACGGTCCAAAGACTCAAACTGGGTACAGTTCCCAGCCACAGGGCATCTGTCAGAAGAAGCTAGCCAAAGCTAAAAGTGCAAAGAAAGTCAAAGAGGAACTTGAAACCAAACATCAGCCCTCCACCACCGCTGTGCTTAAAAGGTGATATAAAGTGCTGCTATTGTTTTTCCCAGATGTAGCGATATACGTTATAGCCAAAAATCTGCACTGTGGTGTGTTATCAAGTCTGATATGTAGTTCCTAGATTTTTTGCAACTTCTCTGAGGACATCATTGTGTGACCTTGACTTTTTAGGGACATCCACACCTGGCAAAATGCTCCATCCCATCAACTGCCAGAACAATTTGACTACCACAACCTGACTGCTCCTTAACCTCTTAATTCTTATAAGTTAGGGCAGACCTTCCCAAAGTGTGGGCCCGCCCCCTAGGGGGGGGCGCAGAGCCATTGCAGGGGGGGCGCGGCATGAAAAGGGAGAAAAAAAACCAAAAACAACACTTGGACACTGCTAGCATGGGGCGCCCACACAAATGCAAAGCAGGAGATGAAGCATCGCTGAATATGTTTCCAAACCAACTTCATTCTAAGCCAAAGACTAGAAAATATGGTGAAGCATATCTGCCCTTTGGTTTCACCTGCACAAGTGCAGAGGTAGGTCTCCCCTGCAGAATTGGTTTTCCCTTCGTCAGGAGCACAGCTGGGCTCTCCAAATCACAGACAAACAGCATCCCACATTCTTGATTTTTAGTTCACAAACACTTGTTGTAATGACTAACTACTCCTGACATTTTGGAGATGTTAGCTCTTTATACAGTAAAGTTACAGTAGGATACAAATAACATCAGGCTGATCCTGCCACGATTTGTTGCCCCTGTCTAAATCACGGACAAACAGTATCCCAGCTGTTCATGTTTTTAAACCCATTTTGCACAGAGAGGTATTTTTTTTTGAAAAATGTATGGATAGCAATGTTGAATATTATTACACAGAAAAAAAAAAACAAAACTACATAAAAATAATGCGTAAAATAATTACACCGTGACGCCTCTGCCTTTCTAAATAGAGGGACAGTAACTGCGTGTTTATATGTAAGCGTGTAAAACCTGAAGAAAGAGACAAAATACTGTTAATCTGACTATCTGCCATTCTGCAATTCCTCTCATGTAAACAATAACGTGGCGCACAGCTGACGTGAAAAAAGGAAAATACCTTTGACGTTGCGTGATGAACTCTGTATTCCTCGTCCACACGTAAACGCAAAAAATGAGTTTTAAAAAATCTCAGTTTTCGGTGATTCGAAACGCCGTTTATGTGTGGACGAAACAGCTGCGTTTTCAAAAATACCCGTGTAGGTGCGGACGTAGCGTAGAAGAGTTTGTAGTTTATTTTGTGGGGGGGGGGGGGGGGGGAACATTTTTCTGTAAAACAAAGGGGGGCCCAGCAAAAAAAGTTTGGGAACCACTGGCTTAAGGCCAATGGCGTCCCTTGTTGAATTTTCTTTTTAACATGAATGTAGAGTCTCTTTTATTCTAAAATAAAATAATCAGCATGAGTAATTTGTGCAAAAATGCTGAAGAAGAACACTAAAAACACACTCTGTATTTCGTTACCCTGTGTTTATACATGTGTAATAATAATAAAGTTGACTCTAATCCTAAAATGTTAAAGGAGAAAGCAGCAGATTTAGCACCTATTTTCTTCCACCCCATTATTTTTTCCTTGAAACGGTTAGCAGTGCTAACAGTTTCAAAACTATGAGACTATGAGAATTACTCAAAACTATGAGCAATTCTTGTGGGCAGACATACTTTGTGTTTTGTTTTTTATTTTGAAGGATTTGGGTGGTATTTTAGATTATCAGCTCCCAGGGGAGGCTGCAGCACTGACAGCGCTGCAACACATCAAGATTTGTCAAAAGGCTAAATTCTTGTGTGGTACAGCAACCCAGCGAGCTGAGGAACATTATAAACCCTTGCTGGAGTATTAGCTCAAAGCCATTTTGACTCTGCAGAGACCTCCATCACAACTAATCAAAAACAAGCTTCTGATTCCTAAAAATAATAGCTCATTAGAGAGAGAGAGACGATTATTGTTGTTCTAAGGCAAAACTGTCCAGACCAACAAATGCAGTCTAAGTAGCATACACCGTATGAAAGCTTAATCACCTATTCATTGCTCCACCAAGCAATCGATCACCCACAGGAGTTGTAATTATGCATTTTTTATTGACAAAAATCAAGTTCATTTTGAAAATTAAAACAAAACACACTGAAAAGACAACTTTGCCAGATATCTCAGATTTAACTGAAATGTGAAAGGTAACTGGGTTCAATTCACTGAATAAATGCTTAGAAAAAGATGGTAATTTCTTTATGAACACAGGTTGCAGACTGCGGAGAAGTGCTCGGGAGATGATCCAGTATATAGTAGCATGATGCAAGCTAGGGCCATGCACACTGAGAGGCACAACCAAGTGCCTTTGAGTTCCAGACAGACAAGCAACTGCTGGCTAACCAACCAGATAGGCTGATGGGCTGACAAGACTGCAGTTGTGACAGATGTGGCGATCCCAGCAGACAGAAAATTCAGGAAGATTCAATAATAGAATCAAATAGAATAGAATCCAACAATATCAGAGGTCACTGTCCAAAAGAGTTTAATCCTAGGAACAAGACACTGTGGAGAAGCCTCAAAGTTTCTCATTTTGGTTATGTTCACATCCATCCATTACATTTTACTAGTATGGCATACTGAAATGGATGTAAGAGATGAAATAGCTTTTAATTACACCAATACCATTATGTGATACACTCTAATGTACAGAAATATTTCTCATATCTGCTTTCCTATTTTTCATAGTAAGACAGACACGTTATGAGCTGCAGTAAATGCAGTATTTACTTTGTTTTGCTTTTGAAAAAGTGGTCAGTATGTGTATTGTTGTGAAAATATGGTCAGTGTGTGCCTCCAGAGCCAGTGGATCACTGCAGGGACTGAGTGGGCTCAGTCCGTCTGCTCACTCTGAATGTCAATGTATTCCAACAGGCCCCAGGGAACCGGGGCCATAATGCCGTTCACGCTTAATTGGGTGACAAATCCGGCAAACATGATTGTAAACATCCTGAAAGGGATACCTTGACATTTTGATTTCAGTCTGCGGTTGGGTTTCATTGCTGCAGACGAGTTGTTGTGTTGTTGCGGGGGAGAGTGGAGTTTCTAGATGACTGTTCACTGAACCAAAACATCATTTCTATCCATAGTTAAACTTCTTATTAAAAGTAATTGCTGTTCAGGGGGGGGGAAGAAAATAGAGTAATGCATCTCATTGTTTGGTGCACCCATGCTTCCTGAAGCTGCCCTTTTTCCTAAATGTTACTTTCAGTAGAAACTAAAGTTTCTGCACAATGAATGAATAAATGTCAGTCAAAGATTCATAATACATTCACGAAAAACAAATAAACAAATGATCCACCTCAAACCAGGATTTTCACAGTTCCCATTCACTGTTTGTGTAATCAGCAGTGCAATCTGGCATCATGGCTATTCATTTAAGGCAATAAGATATACAGTTGGCTGCTTTTCATTTGCATTAAGTTGATTCAAATCAAGGACATCCAACAGTGCTCAGAGAAAAAAAAGCAACCTTTAATTTAAAGTCCCAGAAAATTATTTTCAAAATTATTTTTGATTTAAATCTAGTTCTGCACCCTGTTTCTTGATTTCTTAAAGTGCTTTGTGTCCCATGTATGTGAAAAGCACAATGTAAATAAATCTTCTACAGTAGCTTGAAACAAGTTGTGCAAATAAGGGCTGAAAGACTAATAAAATGCCTTTAGAATAAGTTCCAAGTTTACATAGGTAGTAGATACCTAATGATTGCATAGATAAAGGGAAGCTAAAAATATTTGCATATTTGCATGCATGAGAAAATATTTGCTGTATAAACTTACTGCCTTTCTCCAATCTCCAGTAAGGTTCAGTTCAAAGTGAGCTCTACCAACCTTCCCCCTTCATCCCACAAATAAGCAGCTTTCAGAAAGTGAGAAAGCATCTTCACAGAATGCAGATTTCTTGTTGTGGTAAAACTGTGGCCAAACTGTGCTCTGTCTCTATCTGGCACAGCTACAGTTTGTGCACTTGCAGTTGAATGTGAGGCACCTGTTGGTTGTCTGTGATGAGAATCGTTAGCGCTTCCCTGAGTGCTATGTGGTTAAAGGGCCTGTTTGGGAAATAGGTTCAGAAACAGGTCCGGCTTAAAGTTAGAGTCAAACCTACTATCAGTGTTATGTTTATGAGATCCTAACAAAGGGCAGAAGCTGTGAGACTTACCTGCTTCATATGTTGTAGCATGCGCCGTCATACTCCAGGTGCTGGACTTGCGGCCTTTGGTGACCATAACAGCGAACTCGTACATGGTGTTTGGTTTGAGGCCAGTGACCGTGTGGCTGAGGGCCGTAGTGTCTGCAGACTGGACACATGACATTATTTGGAAGCTTAAACTAAACAATACGAGAATAAAGCTGCTATTAAAAGATAAAATATACAGCAAATACAATCAACGGATAAAATTACAAAAAAAAAAAAAATCACATTTCTAACCCTAAACCTTATGCTGTGGGAGTGATCATGGTGGGGCGCCTGGATCAACAATGCCAGGGCCAATTTTTTGTCCTAGTCCAGCCCTGAGGTCAGGGTTGCTTATCATTATTATTGAGGAGCTTGAAGGTTTAAACATAGAAATATAATACAGTTATTTACAACTTTAGACTTTTATTAAAATTTGATAGTGTCTACTTCCCAAACTTTGATGTCTGATGACAGGGAAGAAGAAAAAGAAAGAAAAAAAGAAGAAGCAAAGATGTCACTTTCTCTTTGTCTACTCTTTATTAAGAACAATGGAGTCTGCCCTTGTATAGATTTCCTTTTTACAGTATTATGGGAGCACAGTTCAGATTATTTTTTCTAAGGTCTTTTTCACTCTTACAAGTTCTCAAGAGTTTGGTTTTCCAGGGAAACTCAGTAACCTAAAATCGAACAAGGAAATTTTTTTTTATCTTGCTTTCAGACCACCATTAATGATACAACCCTTGTGTTTTTACTACTTCACAGCAACAGTGCTGCCTAAAATTTTAGGTTCTTTCTGTCAACTGAGAGATTTTTTTTATGTCAATAGAAGCTTCAAAAGTGTAAAAAATTATTAATAAACTTTGGTTTGTAAGACGACTCCATTCTCCAAGAGGGGTGTGCATGATTGTTCTTGGTGGTATTGAGCAGCAGCAACAGATGGGACACTTGTAAAAATGTTAGTGAATGAATGAGATGGAGATGAAAGGTATGAACTTTAATTCCTGTAAGCTGATAAATGAACAGCAGCAGGGGGTGGAGATGCAGTTGTGAGACTGCTCATCCTGGAGAAATACTGATAAGGTATATTTGAAATTAGGGTAAATAATAAATGTGTATACAACATCATTTCAATTTGTGACTACAGCTAAAAGAGAAAAAGTGGCTAAAGACGTAATTGTTTCATTGTTTTTGTAAATTACATGCAAGACTTGAATTGTATGAACTCCAGAGTCACGTCCTAAGCTGGGACAAACAAATCCAAACTCAAGCCCAAGTTAAGAAAAGTCCTATTATTAAAACTTAAATCCTTTCATTTCAAATATCTAACACAGCATCATTTGTCAGGTAAGGCTTTACATAATGGGTAGATGCTAAGGGAAGCAAAATGCCAAGATACTGTGAACTCCATGTTAAACCTCATGTCAAAATCTAAGTTTGGACCAACAAATTAAGTTATAAGACAAATCATGAGTAAAGAGAAGTCCCAAAATTTTGAATAATTAGGCAGGCATTATTTAAGAGGTAATGTAAATCTAGTAAATCTAGACCAATAGTTAAGCACAATGTTAAGATTGTTCAAACAACCCTAATCCAAGACAAGTCTTGTCCAATCTGAACTATAAGGATCGACAGGTTCCAAGTGAAGAATACAAAAGTCAGATCCATGCAATCAAGTCTCATGACAAAGTTTTCTGTCAAATCCTCAAAATTATCTCTGATGACCGCTGGCTCCTAAGTCAGGTCCTAAAGCCCCAAGTCAAACCTCCAAGGAAATACTGAAGGCAGCTAAGTATGCCCCATACAAATAGCTTTGAGCCTCACCATAACAGCTAAGTAATATACATTTTTTTAAGTCCTAAGTTAAACCCCAGCTTTAAAAAAAATTTATGTAATCTGTTTTTTTTATTTTGCAGGATTAGTTTAAAATACAGTTCTTGCTAAAAGTTTATTTTGATTTGTAGTGGAAGCCACTATTTATTTGCACTTCACAGAGACAAGATAATAATCAGTCTGAAATTGAGATATACACAAATCCAAAACAAATAATTTTCTTGGTCCTACTGTTGATTCAACATTACTATGTGATACTAAAGATATTGACAATTAGATCATTTGTTTTTTTTACAGTTTAGGTTTTAGACTTTATTTAATCACTTATTCGCTCCAATCAAAATCAAAGGTTTTATTTCACTTTCAAAATAAAGGTCTGAGGGTAAAAGTCCTCAAATGTAATGTCAACACCCAGAGCATGGATATGAGAGCCTGTGATTTACCTTGTACTTTCCACTGGTGGAGTAGCTTGTCTTCCATTTGACGGAGTAGTAACGAACTTCCGATGACTTCTGGTTCTTGGTCATAGAGTTGTCGGCCCAGGAAACACGGACTGAATCCGAGGACAGAGCCACAGCTTGGACCCCCACTGGGGGGATCATGGGAGTGCTGGTGTCTGGCATGGGAGTGGGGTATTTATCAAAGAGGTGGAAGAGGTCATCCTCAGATGGGTCAATGGGGTCTTTGGGGGGGTTAGCGGTAACCAAGGTGTTTGGGAACATTTAATGAAATCATACAAAGCAATGGAAGTGCAATAATGACGTTTATATATGGGAAACATATTGAAGACAAATATATAATTACATAAATAATAAATAGATAAGATGACATGCAAGTTTGGAAGAGACATGCATGCAGGCAGCCATGTTTGTTGGAGAGGAAAAGGAAGAGTGGTGGATGAAGAAGTGAAAAAGAGGAGAAAAGGAGAGAAAAAAAGACAAAGATTAAGGAGACAAAGAGAGATTAAAGACGTTATTCTAAACAGCAAGTGGATCCACAGACCCACAAAGGGGTGGGGCCTACAGGACAAACCCATATTGGTGACCACAGTTACTATAATGGACAGAACCAATGGCCAGTGACACTTATTTTTTTAATTAAAGAAGGAAAAACAGGCCTTATTAAAAAGTATCTGTATGAATGAAATCCTGCCATCCTGAGCCTTCTGCATATTTAAACAAATATAAACTCATTTATGTGGATCTGTGGTTCCAGAAAACCAGAGAGCTTACGCTACCTTCAGATGCTTTAAGATATCTTACATAAATTAAACACACTGTGTTTAAAAAATGTACCTGATTTTGATCAAATTTCTCCATTTTGTCAATCACTTATTTCTCATTAAATTAGTGGGAATCTCTCGAAAATCAAGGAATCATTTGTGTGTGTGTGTGTGTGTGTTTGTCCTTTGCCTATGCGTACAACCAACAATCCCGTCTACATCAAACTTGGTAGGAACCCAGTTAAGTACATTGCTGAGTTTGAAGACATAATGGTCAGTGGTTTTAATGTTATTGCTAAAAACATTTAATAACACTTCCAGCTACCCACTTGTGATATGTTTCGGGGAACACTAGTGAATTCTAGTCATGGCATCATCACCACAACTAAACCTACAAGAACACTTCTCACAATATGCTACTCAATTCCTGGTGCTTCAAAGCAACGGACTACCGCAAGATTACATTTCAATTGGATTATTTTTAGCACTTCCATCAGTTAGCTGTGTTCCCCAGACTCAAGACGCTTGTATACTGTACCAGTATACAAAATACATGTGGATGTACTTCACTGAGGGTACACTTAGAGAAGCACATCCACATTTTCATTGACTGCTTCCTCTTCAGGAAACTGTAGCATTATGTGTGTGTCCGCTTTCACAACAACAAATTTCTTGCATGTGAGGCGTTTGGAGGACATTTACGGGGTTACACTCTCCCTGAACAGATACTCTTTCAGTAACTTGTAAATCTAAAGATAAGAAAAGTCAGTAGTGGAGCTGGAGATGCAGGCTGAATACCTCAGTGAATGTGACTTCTGAACCAGAAAAATGGAAGAGCACCTGAAGGCAGCAGGATGTGAAAAAAGGCGTTAACAGATGCTAACAGAGAGCTGGAGCGAGCTGAGGTAAACACAATGAACTAAAGAGTGAATAAAAATAAAAGCAACTCTGCTGGTTTCAGCTCTGTGACCTCTGATCTACAGACAGTCAAACCTACTGAAAGCAGAAACACAGTGATGCAGATCGTTTAAAATACACACAAACACACAGTAGAGTTAAGAGCGCTGTTTACTGGTTCACTGCAAAGCCGCTGACACGAATTTGAACTGAAATTTTATTTTTAGTCTTTTTCATTTAATGAGCAAAACAGCCTGTAGGGCAGCTAACAATGAGCATTTGTAATGCGGGAAAATCTCTGTGCAGTTTGGTACTGACCAAAATGCTGATGACTGAGATCAGATATATGGAATATGGAAAAGTTAAAAGATGCCAAAAACAACAACTTTATTGCTTATTTAAATGTTGCTTTACTTTACTGTGAAAATAGAGGACAGTCAGCTCCAGCTGAGAGTGCTTTTGTTCTTATTATTCTATTCACACTTACCTCTAGAAAATAAGACGAGAGAAAGCTGATCTTTGTCTGTCCTTCTGCAGTATTTTTTTTTTCATGATTCGAACATCTTTTCACCGAGCACACTTACTGTCTGACACCCACACACATGGATTTTAGAAGTGTAACTCGAATAAACCCTTTTGAACTTTACATCTGCTCACACTGCACTGTCTCCTCGGGCTTCACATTAACAGTCCTCAAATTCCACCTACACTATCTGGACTTTGTGAGGGGTCAAACTGGGCTATAGATTTAAGCTGGCTACCACAAAACTACCTCCATTACTTATACTGACACACTGATCAGTAGTGATTCTACTGAATCTATGTATTTACAACCATATACCCAGCAGTGGTCTGGTTTTAATGCATAAAGTCTTCTCTTGCAGCCACATTTAATGTAACAGGAACAAGAGTGCTTCAAATTATTAATTTAATGAAATTATTAAATCCATGTGATACATAGAAGAATACTTATTATGCTCATTTCCAGACACATATTTCTGGACTCTATTATAGTAGCTGTGCATGAATCATGAAATAAATAACAGACACACACAGAAAAAGAGAGCAAAGTGTCTGCTACTGAAAGAAATAAACCTTACAGTAAGATAAAAGTAGATCTCTTTGTAGAACAAACAAATCTCGAGCTTACATTTTCATATAACATATAACAGATCAATATTTTTATGCCACATAGCTACCATAAAAATGTTGTTTTTTAAAGGAAGAGCTGACAGGAAGTAGAGGATTTCTGCTACACAATTGGTATGCATCTGCAAGCCACACCTGCCTCCACCTCTGCTCCTCCTTTTGGTGCTATGTCTGACCTAGTCAATAACAATAACTGCTCTCCAGTCATCCAGCTTTCCACATAGAGCTGTGCCAACATAGAAAGGTCTCCAAAAGGAGCCAAATATAAGGTACGCTTACTAAATTTGCTTTTACACTAATAACTTTTAAAGTGTGGCTTATGTTTCCAAATACCTTTCAGGGACTGGATTAGTAGATTTGTGATATGTGGATGTCACCAGTATAGAGACCAGCTTCTTTTAGTAAGGGAATACTGTTGACATTGAGAGTATTAAAAAAGTTCAGTTGGAAAATAAACTTTTTTCATATACATGGAAAAAGCTATGAAAATAATATTAAAGTTTTACATTTTGTTACAAAGATTTGATGATAAAATTAAACAAGTTTAAAATATTTAGAAGTAATTCCTGTGAGACAGAAACTTCAAACTGTTCTAAACACTTGGTTTGACAGTTTTTGTCATGTCATTGAATAAGGACACCTTAATATGGTCATCTCAGGCAGCCCCACCCACCTGCTGCTAAAAGCTCTACATTCCTAAGAGATCAGAGGCAAGTAGACAAAAAGAGAGGAACAGGACTTTATTTCAGACAAAGGGTGAACTAAGGTGCAGCACCAAAGGCTTTATAAGACAAAGATAGATTATTTCGAACTGTAATTATTGCAGAGCTACTCTGGTAGAGTCCAAGAAACTGAGTTGGAAATATTGCAGAATGAAAAAAAGAAAGAACAAAACCCCACCCCCAGTAATATTATTTCAATTTGATGACAAGTCAAATAGCTTTACTGCATTACTAGGGTTTACACCACTGGATGGTGTAAACCGGTTGAAATGGTTGAAACTCTCTGTGCGAGTTCATATGAGGGTAGCATCAGTTGTGGGAGCTGACGCGGGCTCATCCTGTTGCATCTGCAGTGTAAA